GTGAGAGAATGCATGTCGTCTGTGTGTTAAAGCTGCAGCAGTAGATAACCAAGGCTGGGGGCTACTCATCACACTGCCACACCCATCAGATCTAATGCTACAGGAGGGACGGGGAAGATGTTACGCAATTCCTTGAGCAAGAAAACCAGTCTTGCTAGGTGTGTGTTAGATACGATCCCTTGCGCTCCATCTAATACAACATGTTAAATGCTAAGGGGCAGCAGCCCTGACCACATGAAACGGGCTGCGTCTCTTCTGTTTTAAAATCTATTCACTGAGGAATAGCTGTTCTGTGGTATTTCTTTTTTTCATTTATTTATTATTATTGTTTGAATTAAGAGATTATTTTGTTGGGGACTCTTCCAACTCTGTCCAGTGAGGCGGCTAAGAATGACCTTTCCTAACCAACCTGGGGCACCCGGGAAGAAAATGGGCCTTGTAAATGCTGAGAGAGCTGAGCGACGTGTCCACCGGGCGCATGGTGGGTGCAGGAGGAACGCCCGAAGCACAGCTCGCCCTGGCTGAGCCGCGGTCAGCGTCAGCGTCAACCTGAAGCCACCAAGCGCGTGGCTCTTGCTTGCGTGGCTCTTGCTTGCGTGGCTCCTGCCTCTCTGGAGCCTCCGCTGCTTCGGTCTTGTCTCGGAAAGCGGCTGCTCTTCACCTCACGTGATGTGAAACGACGTCAGCACCTAACGATGCACCTTCTAGCTTCCCACCTGCGGGCAGTCTCACTCTGGATTCTTCCCCTGGGTGGCCCATGTCACTCAGCACTTCCCTACGGGGGTAAAGACTGTGCACAATCAAAGAACGCATGGGGCCGGACCCACCGGCCGTGGCTTACGTGCGTGTGCGTAGGACCACTGTCAGTAAGTCTCTGATCCCCATCTTTCCATCTGCCATGTCGCACGGTCCCTCTATAATATCCACAACGAGGGCTTACTGAAGGGGCGCCTCGGTGGCGCAGTGGTTCCGCACTGGGCTGCTAACAGCAAAGCCACCAGTCTGAGACCACCAGCCGCTCCGCAGGGGAGATGGGGCTTCCTACCTCGCAAAGAAGAGTCGCGGCGTTGGGACCCCCAGGGGCAGTTCTCCCTTGTCCCCTGGGGCAGCTATGAAGGAGCCGACACTGACTCGATGGCCGTGAGTCTTTGGGGGTTTGCGCTTACGGGTAAGCGCTACAAGGCGTGTGAATGTTTTGTCCAACAACACTTTGCATTATCTTCACGCCAGCGGGAGATAGGATGTCCGTCTTACAGATGGGGACACAGAGGCACATCGAGAGCAAGTGCGCTGTCCAGGGTCACTGCCTGCCACTGCCGGCCGGCCCCAGCAGTCCACTGCTGGAGGACCCCACAGGGTGCCAAGCAGAACTGCTCCTCAGGGCTCTCCACACGGCCCTCTTGGTGGAAGCAGCTCCGCGGGTCTTTTCCTTTGGAGCTGCTGGGGGGATTCGAACCGCCAACGTTTAGGTTAGTGGTCAATCATAAACTCCTGGCACTACCTGGTTGGTCCTATGACTGGAAGCTCACCCCTCAGACCTGCACGTAGTCTCTGGTGCACCTGAGCCTTGCACCGTGGGTAACAGCCGCAAACGGTACTCCCCTTGCTTCCCGACTCAAATTCTATCCAGGGCTTCCTCCTTCTGATCCTCAGCCGCAGAACCTGCATTTTAAGAAGCCCCCCGACTTGTCAGTAAATACCTACGGAGCACCTGCTGGGGCTCAGGAGTGGCACAAAGGGCGGGTGATAGACCACGGAGCAGAAAAGGCCTTCACCTCAGAGAGCTACGGACTCACTGACAAGCAGACACACGGGACAGAAGCAAGGCCAGGGCAGGCACTGAGCCCGGGTGTCTTTCAATCACGGTGGTCGGGCAGAGTCCCCAGCCACACTGCTGCAGCCCAGGAAGCACCGTGCCCGGGTGAGTGGAGGGCAACCCCGCCGCTCAAAAGACCAGTGTGAGGCCACTGCACCCCTGCACGGAGCTCTCTGCGAGTGCTCGGGACAAAAACAAGGGCAAACACCAAAGAGGCAGGTCTGCAGGACGCTTCCGCTGCAGTCCCCAGGGAAGAGGAAGCGTACACGCTGCTGCTGCCGCTTCAGCAAGTCCTGCCCGGGCAGCTGGGCCGGCCTTGTCTTGACTCAGCGGCAGAGAAGTGTGACAGCAGCTACTCCTGCCACCTGCAGCACCGCCCTTCCGCCTGTGTCCCCAACGACGCAGCTACGGCTTCTCGCCACCCAACACAAATAAGAAGAGAAGCCAAGAGGAAGGAAGTGACCCGATGTCTCTGTACGGCTGAAGGGGACATTCCTCCCTCCCCTGTGCCTCCGAGGTGAGGCCAGCACTGGGAACACCGCTGCCTGAAGGTCAAAAGAGACAGGGCCCGTCTTGGTCGGAATCAAAGATTTCCGATCCCTGCTGCCATCCAATGGATTCGGACTCCCGGCAACCTCATGAGTAGCACCGTACAGCTACTCCATGGGGTGCTCCTGGCTGTGAGCTGTCTGGAGGCAGACTGCCAGGCCATTCTTCCGCATCTCCTCCAGGGAGAGCCGCCAACCTTCAGGGGTAAGTATCTCGGGTAGTAACTCCAAGCTTTAAAGTGTCCTGAAGTTGCACACGAGGGAATGCACGAGGACATGCGGTCAAGAGCGCGTAACAAGAGCTGGAAAGCAGCATGCGTCTGGGCAAACACTGACACCAGACACCGTGAGAGTGCTGGGAACTTTCGTATCCACGCACATTCATGTGCAGAGCTTCTCTGAACATGTCAGACGGCCACGCTGCAGTGGGTTCCCATAAGAATGTGACACAAGCGGCCCTGTCCAGACAGGGCTTACCTCACGGCCTGGTCACCTTGGACCCCACTCCCTTGGCTGCCTGATACACTCACTAGTCTACACCAGAAGCCAGGCATACTGGGACGGGAGTCTCTGAGTCCTGACCTAAGGATGGCCGTCTGCACACCATGCACAACACTGAACAGACATCCGGATAGCACAGCTTTTCCGCCTCCCTCCCACAGAGCCCTGACACAGAAACAGAAGCCAAGGCTGTGCGGGCGAGGAGAGGAAGTCGTAAGGAAAAATGCATATCCCGTGAAAGACTGCCACCACTTAGCACACCCCCCACCCCCCAAAAGCTGGAAACTAAGCTTGAGCCTTTCAGCGTCAGCCCTCTCTCCAAGACATGGTACCACAATGTTAGGTTTCTTGGGTGGGAAATACCTAGGTAATTGGCTTCGCACGAGAAAGAAATCACGACTGGTTTGCAATCCAGGTGAGTTTTTATGAAGGATGGGAGAAGTTTCAGGTTTTGCAGGGAAGCGTGCCAAGCCACGCATAAGCCACGCTGGGGCCCACAACTGAACACGGGCTGCATGGCCACACACACATTAACTGAGGCTAGAGAGGCCAGGTCAGCCTTGCAGCAGGATCTGAGGCGCTACTTGCTTCTGTCCATGCACTGCCACTTTCCACAGCCACTCCCCAAGCACCCCAACAGACCACACAGGCGGATAGGAACCTCACCGCCCCCCACACCCAACGACCCAGCCCTCACCCATTAGGACAGCTGATCTCCCCAAGTCCTGAAAGGATGCAGAGAGGATTTGTTTACCCTTGCAGTTCCAGGGTGGCCATGGGGGACAGGGAAGGTGAATCAAATCCAACTTTCCCAAAGGAAGCGCAGAAAAGCAGGCTGCACAGCCCAGAGCCCAGGGGTAGCGGAAACAAGGCTTTGTACTGCAGCGGCCAAGGGCAGCATTGTTTCCTGATCTCTCGTGTTATTTACGGTCCCCACACAAATTCTGAAATCAGAGAGGGGCGGGTCCATGGGAGAGAAGTGAGCTGTCTTTCTGCATCCTAGCCACTGCACTCTGCACAGCTGGCTCTCCCCACAGAATGGGTAGCTCCACCACATTGGTTCTACCAGTGTAGTGCTGATAAGGTCTACCATCATTATCACTAGTAACGACCTTTTTTTTAATTCAAACAGATTCGAACCGAGGTTTCTCATGTGCAAAGAGCTCGTGCTTCATGGGAGACAGACAGGACACACACAGGGATGACATGCACCTTCCTAACAAGAGAAAGCGCAAAGCCATCGAGGTGCGAAAGCTTCCTCCAAGTTCCACCCTGAGCCAGCGGGCTCTGCAGATCCTACGTGAATTCCAGAAATGCATGCAACAACCCAGCAGGGAAGAAAACATCCATCCCCCAGAGATGCTCTACAGGTAAACTTTCTCACCTGCATGTGTACACGTGCACCACAGTCTGTCTGTCTGACTCTCTCTCACACACTCACTCACGGATGCAGCACAATTCAGTGGTAAATATTACAGAAGGATCTATTCATTCCAGAGCAGGTGCTGCCCTGGCCCGGTGCTGCCCTCCAGTGGTGTGAAGATTTAGAGCAGAGGTTTATCAGGGAGTGTTCCAATCGTGTCTCACACACCCCTTCAGCTTTTTAAAAAGAGATGTTTAGTACACATTCCTCCATGAACGCATATACTTTACAATACCTACGTTACTTAGAGACAAATGGGACTCTTTAAAAGTGTGGTTTAAAAAAAACCCCAAAAACACAATCTAAATATGATTTCTAGGAATTTCCTCTGGTTGAGACAGGGGCAGCAAGCTCCAGCACCAAGCAGGCTGCAGCACGTTCCACTCACCAGAGAGCAAGAGAGACAGGGTCAGGCCTTGCAGAATCATGTATCCCTTTGCCCTCCATCAAACTGCGACCTGATGACTCCCACATGTTCCTAGTGGCCAGGTACCCAAAACCCACCTATCACACTTCCTGATAAGAAGACCCGAGTAAAGCAGATGGGGTTTCATTTTACACCTGTTGGCTCATTCCGTCCAACAACAGAGCGTGGGCCGCTTCGAAAGATACCGTTCACTTCATAGAGAGTCCTTCACCGGGGATGTGCTGGATGTGGAAGACTATCCCCTACAGGAAAAGGAAAGGTGAAGGGGAGAGAGGGAGCTCCTACCTCTTGGTTGTCTTTGCTTTGGTTTGTCCAGAAAATCTTATGATAGAGCGTCTCCATGGAGTTGCTGGAATCGGTGCGGTCGAAACAGTGGCGATCCAGGACTTCCAGAGTGTTCAAGACCCGACTGATGGTCACCCCTAGAGCCAAGAGCCAGGTGAGAGGTTGACAGGAGCAGGGGTAGGGCAGCATGCTCCTTACGTGGGGCCGAGGGGATTTGTCCTAAAATATTACTTCTTGGCTATCGGAGAATTGCCCCCACACAAGCAAACCTGACATGCTAGACATCCAGGACGGAGGGGCCAGACACAGGGAAGGGTCCTCGCAACGCCCTTCCTCCACAAGAGGAAGACACAGAGCACGGCGTCCAACATGCCAAAGCACTCGGTCTGCGGGTGTGTTCTGTACCTGCGGTCGACTCCTGGCACTTATCGAAAGACCACCGGACTTCCACAGCACGGCCTCTCTGTTTTATCTGCTGCTCTGCCTCATAAATCCTTGCTCGCACCTGAAAGACAATCGCTTCTCGTTAACGAGTGCCCGGAGAGCCGCACTCGCTGTCCGCATCGCCGCCACCTTCTTCTGTACGCGTAGTTGGGTCCCACGGTGGGCGGCCATCTCGACTGCCCCCAAGGACACGCACACGGCCGCTGCCCGAGAGGTGCATGTTAAGCACTGCAAATGGTGACTCAAGGCCAGTTGCCAGCAATACTCATGAAAATCAACGTTCGCCAAATTTGTGTGATTTTCTATGTATGGAATCCAGGAGAGGGAGATCTACAGAGACGGGGACCGGACAGGGTACGGAGGGGCATGGGGATTGGGG